ACAATCTCAGAATTCTCAACCAAAGGAGGCACCGCAGTCCATCCAAACCACTGACTCCGGTACTCCATCAGAAGACAAAAGTGATATTGTAATTTGTCATAAGTGTAACAAAGAGAATCACTTTGCAAAGGATTGCAAGGCCAATTTAGTGAAAGACAGAGCATTCTACATTAGAATGGCTCAAGAATTGGAAGATAACGAAAAGGCAAGGGCATATGTAGCCCATGTCAAAAGAGACCATCAAGTTTGGTCATCTGGAGATGAAGAAGAAACCATCAGCAGTGTCAGAGGAAAGGGCAAAATCTGCATGCTGGCAACTGCGGATGACAATAGGTCTACAAAGCTGGAAAAGAACTACTGCTACATGGCAAAGGATGGAAATCTAAGCATCGTCGAACAGGTAAAACTCATGATCCAAACTCTAAACTATATCATGCATGACTATCAACCTTTCATAGATAATCTTAATGACACATGTGCTGCCGTCCTTACAGACTATAACAAAGCCTTAGATGAGAAGAACATTGCGTCCCAAGAGATGTTCCATGTGAGAGGACGATTGGATAACAAAAGACTCAAAATGGCTATGTTAGAAAAGGACCTAGAGTTAGAAAAAGATGCAAGAATGTTGAGTGAAACACAACTAGAAATAGCTTTGAACCAGAGAGATTTAGCTCAAAGTGAAATTATACGCTTAAATCTTTTAATAGAAAAATTGTTCAATGAAAATGAAGCAATTGAAAATTTGGTAAATAATGGAACTGTGGACAATACATACAATTGGGGTTGGTCAAATGGATATCCTACCGCAATGGATTCCTCACCCCGGTTTAACAAAGATCGACTGTATGTCCCTCCGGACCGAGAATTTCATTTCCCAGTCAATGACAAGACTTTTCTCGCAGACATTAGAACACACTTCTGTAGACTTCATAATCTAAGAAATAATTGTGTCATTGAGGAAATTGTGCCTGAAGTTTCGGGTCACACAAGTGATCAAATCCCTGTCTATCTACCCAAATTCTCAAACCTCATCCGTAGTTGATGAAGAAATTGTTATTAAGGGTCCTGAAGTCTCGCAAGACTTCCCATCTCTACCCTCAGACCGCAGTGTCTCTAATTGTAGTCATGAGCCACAAAAGTCCCACAAAAGTCCCACTGAAGTCCTAACACAGACTTACTCTGCGGTAGTCAAATCATCCTTACCGCAGTTCTCAAATAAAGGCTCTGTGACTCTTCAGCCAATTCATCATGAATTACCCATAGAAAACTTTGAAGTGGGTCAATGCTCTCAAATCCCTGAATCCGTCAGTTCGGATGTCTCTAGCCCTCGTTTTCAAAAATTTTCAAAGGTTTCCAGGAAACCGCAGCTGAACATCACTGACTGTAGTTCCCCAAAAACCTTAGCTAAAAAGGCTTTCAAAGAGGAAATTTGATCCCGAGGCACAAATAGACAACACTTTTCGAAAAACAAAAGGCATATCAGATTTCCAAAATCTAAGAGTCCAGAAAAATTTGTTTTCTCACACTATTTTTCGAAAAACTCTCCTATCAAGAAAACATGCAAAAGGGAATGTACAGTTTCATCAGTCATTCCAAAGTCATCTGATACAACCCAAAAGAAAGAACAGTCTTTTCGAAGCAATGGTTTTCAAATCTATTCCTCAGACGATCCAAAATGGAAGGGTATCTTACCCACTCCAACACTTTTAAAATCACATCCGAATTTTAATAAGTGGAAGGGTATCTTACCAAATCCAACAAAAAGGTCCCACAGATATACACGCACTAAACCTTTTTCAAAAAAAACTTTTCAAAAGTCCAACAACACCAATGTCAGATATTACCAACCTCAGACCAGTCACAAGTCCAACTCACCATTTGGACCGCTGACCAAACATGGTGTCAGAACAAAAGACAAAACTTCAACTTGTCAATGTCAATGTAGCTGTCAGAATGGTTCATCTCATGTCAAATCTGGTGTGTTTCAGAAACCTCGTAACTTTTCAAAAACATACAACACTTCAAAATCTCACAAACACCCAGGACTAGGATTAAAAGTTGACACGAAACCCGTCCCTGCAACCTCGGTCCATGCATCAATCAGAAATTCACCTTTTGTTCCAGGCTCCAAAATAGTTTGGATGCCTAAACTAACCGTGTAATTTTCAGGCTTTGTGCAAGGAGGAACAAAAAGATGAATGGTTAATTCACAGTGCTTGCTCCTTGCACATGACTGGAAGGTTAGAATACCTTCGGGATTTCAGGCCAATTTGCAACGGTGGAAATGTTACATTCGGCAACAATGCGAATGGGATAATCCAAGGTTATGGTGTTCTTACTACGGGAAACTTCTCTATTCAAAAGGTTGCTTATGTAGAAATCCTTAAACACAATCTCATCAGTGTTGGCCAACTATGTAAGGTAGGCCATCGAGTTGAATTTGATGATCAATTTTGCTATGTAATGACAAGTGATAGGAACACGTGTCTGATCAAGTCCCGATCCGAAGGTACTATGTATCCTCTGGATGTCTCTCTGATCATATGCAAACCGCAGTTATGATTCCTATCCAAAGCAGTATCCGAAGTCAGCTGGCTATGGCACCGCAAGCTAGCTCATCTCAACTTCAGATACATCAACAATTTGGTCACCGGAGAACTAGTCAAAGGTCTCCCTATTCTCAAGTTCAACAATGATACTCTCTGTCCTGCATGTGAATGTGGAAAGAATCCAAAGCATGTCACCCCATGGTGGTTGATTCCTCAATTTCTGAACCACTTGAACTCTTGCACATTGATCTCTGCGGTCCATCCACCGTAGTCAGTCTCCATCACAAGAAATACATACTGGTTAAAGTAGATGACTTCACACGCTTCACATGGGTCTTCTTTCTTAGACTCAAGTCAGAAACACCGCAGATTCTCATCAATTTCATCAAGGAGATAGAACTCCAGATCAAGCTGCCAGTTCGACGCATCCGAAGTGATAATGGAACTGAGTTCACTAATCATCTCCTAAATAGTTTCTTGGTTTCAAAGGGTATCATTCACAACTTCTCCGCTCCCTACACACCGCAACAAAATGGGATAGTAGAGCGAAGAAACCGCACTCTAGTAGAAGCAGCCAAATCCATGCTCAACTTCGCACACCTTCCTCTCTACTTCTAGGCCGAAGCAGTGGCCACCACATGCTTTGTGCAGAATCGAAGTATTGTATGCAAGCGACTCAGCAAAACACCGTATGAGGCCCTTAACAATTCCAAGCCAAATGTCCGCTTCTTTCATATCTTTGGGTGTAGATGTTTTGTGATCAACAACAAAGATCATCTTAACAAATTTGCACCGAAGTCTGATGAAGGCATCTTCCTTGGCTATTCCACAAACAAAGTTGCTTACAGGGTTCTCATTCGACGTACAAGGCTAATCATTGAAAGCTTCGATGTGAAATTTGATGACTATCACATCCGCAACACCGCTCCATCAACAGAAACCACAACAATCCTAGAAAGTGATATTCCTGCCTCTTCGGGTCCATTAAACCTAGTTGAAGTAAACTGTGATGATCTTTTCGACCCTGTAGAAACAGCCAAGTTATCCGAAGTTCTTGTGTCTCCGGAAGCTCAACAGCAGCACGCTGATGTATCTGGTCCATCCCTATCCGAAGTAGTATCTCTCAATACTCCCACCTCGCCGGTTGAGGGGGAAAGCTCTACTCCGGATCAGGCAACAACCATCGAGGTTCCAGTACTTAATGAAGCTCAAGTTCCCAGCCGCAGAGAATCATTACCATCCAACGTTTCTTCCGACTCGGATGATGAAAACATAAAGAACATTGACACAAGAACAGACTCAAGAATTATCACTCTCCCATCTGTAATCCAGGGGGAACCTTGTAAGGGTCAAGGGGAACTCCCTTCTGCAATCCAGGGGGAACCTGCACCATCTGCCCAAGAAAACTTTAATCCCACCTTCCCAGTTCAAGATAATTCAGCAGGATGTTCTCAAATCCAGGGGGAACTGCCATCTCCAACCGTAGAGTCTTTTGATATAGAAGACATTCCCTCTACCGTAGCTGCTGATTATCTGCAATCCCGTCTACATGTATGGACGAAGGACCACCCACCAGGACAAATCATTGGCAACCCATCCGCAGGTATCCAGACTCGATCTTCCAAGGATTTATCTGATCATTGTCACTACACAACATTTATGTCCTCGGTCGAGCCCCGAACGATCAAAGAAGCATTACTAAAACCCGACTGGATATCCGCAATGCAAGAACAGCTAGAAGAATTCAAAAGAAACAAAGTATGGCAGCTCGTCCCGAAGCCGCAAGGTCATACCATTGTTGGTACTAGATGGGTGTTCAAAAACAAACTAGATGAATCTGGTGCGGTAGTCAGAAACAAGGCAAGGTTAGTTGCAAAGGGATATAGTCAACTTGAAGGTATTGACTATGATGAAACGTATGCTCTGGTGGCACGAATAGAAGCCATCCGAATCTTCTTAGCATACGCAGCCCACAAGAACATCAAGGTACACCAAATGGATGTAAAAAGTGCTTTTCTCAATGGGGAATTAAAAGAAGAGGTTTATCTTCAGCAACCTCCAGGATTTGAAAGTATTGAATTCCCAGACCACTGCTACAAGCTTGAAAAAGCAGTCTACGGTCTAAAGCAAGCTCCAAGAGCGTGGTACGAGACTCTCTCTGAATTTCTTGTCTCGTCCGGATACAAAAGAGGAGTGATTGATCCCACTTTATTTAGAAAAGCAAATGGTAATCACCTCATGCTTGTACAAATATATGTGGATGATATCATCTTCGGATCAACTGATCAAAAAATGGTGGATGAATTCGCTAAGCTCATGACCAACAAGTTCCAAATGAGCATGAATAGAGAGATTAACTTCTTTCTAGGACTTCAAGTGAAACAAGTTCCTCAAGGGATATTCATTCATCAGGAGAAATACACCACATAACTGTTAAAGAAATATTCAATGGACAACTGCTCTTCGGCTAAGGTCCCCATGGCCTTCGAATATAAGATATCTGCTGATCCCTCGGGCGAATCAGTGGATCACAAGACTTATAGAGGTATCATTGGTTCATTGATGTACCTCACCGCAAGCCGACCAGACATTGTCTTTGCAACAGGTACATGCGCAAGGTACCAGGCTGACCCAAAAGTGTCACACATGACCGCAGCCAAACAAATTCTACGATACCTGAAAGGAAGCAAGACTCTTGGTTTATGGTACCCCGCAAGCAATGACTTCAGCCTTCAAGCATTCACAGATGCGGATCATGCCGGATGCAGATTAGATCGAAAAAGCACTTCAGGTGGATGTCAATTTCTGGGTGGAAGACTCGTCAGCTGGTCATCTAGAAAACAAAGTTGTGTATCACTGTCTACCGCAGAAGCTGAATATGTGGCCGTAGCCAGCTGTTGTTCACAAGTCCTATGGATGAAAACACAACTTATGGACTACGGATACAGAATGTTGCGGATACCAATTTACTGTGACTCTGAATGTGCTATAGCTATCTCTCACAATCCAATTCAGCACTCCAAGACAAAGCATATTGAACTACGGTATCACTTCATCAAAGACCACATCCTGAAAGGTAACATTGAACTCATCTTTGTCCATACTCATGAAGAGATTGCTGATGTGTTCACAAAGGCACTTGACTCTACAAAACTCAACAGTTTCTTACAAATGTTAGGAATGATGAATCCGGACCCACAATTCTTCTTGAATTGATAGGTACCGCAGACCATCCTTGGTCTCTGTTGCAGTCCTAACTGAAGTTACTTATGATAGATGGTTTTGGTATATTCTGTGTACTGCAGTTTGTGTACCGCAACCATATATCAAAGTTATCCTTCAATGGTCCTTACTGTTTGTTGTTACTGATTTTTGTTCAAGTGTTCTCCTCAGTTATTTTACTGCAGACATCCATCCGTCCATCCGCAATGACAAATGATCCATCCGCAATGTTAAAGGATCCATCCGCAATGAAATCTCTATCCGCAACCACATTGATAGTTTCTCAACTGTTTCATTAACCCTTGAATCATGGTGTGCTATTTAATGATCCTTCATTAAATAAGAAAAACATTAAATAAAAAACATTCCTTGACAAACTGTCCCATTCCCTTTTTGAATAAACCTTGTGTCAGACCTATTTTAGGTATGATGACAAAAAGTACGTTTTTCTATAAACAAATCCTTTTAATCTGTCCCTTCCTATTACCCAACACGTCCAATCCGTTACAACTTCCCTTTTGCACAACGGATTAAATCCACCCTCACCACACGATCATCAGACGTGATGTTGTACGTCTGACACTTCATTAATTGCAAACCCTTTTTGGTAAATCTCAAAAATAATTTAAACCTCTTCATAATCTGTGGCTGAGATTTCTTATTCCAAATCAAAGAAAACCCCTATTTTTTTACCTTATCTTCTTTCACTTAGGGTAAAAGTAATAATTGTTCAAATTCATCCCTATAAAACCCCTTCTTCTTCCCTAAGAATAGTTTACGCTCTTTGAACTTTGAACTTTCTCCCCACTTTCGCACTCTGTTTCTGCACTCTTTCTCAAACTCTCAAAAATGGTGAAATCAGGCATCTCGAAGAAAATCTCCAAGGCTTCTGCCTCTGAAAACCCCACTGGGTCTGATTCTGCAACAAGAAATCAAATGCCTTCGATTGCTTCAAGCAATTTTAGGGCTGTGTTCGAAGATCACTCCTCCTACAATGCTCCGATCAAGCTAATGATCAAATTCTTGAACAATCACCCTCTATTTGGCCCCTTCGATGCATTCACAGACGTGGTTCCTCTTTCAGCCTTATTCAAATGTGCATTCTCTGCTTACAGACCCCTCGAGAATCCTCAAGAGGTGCATCTGAACTTAGTGAACGTTTCTTTGGTCATTCTGAACAAAGAAAAGTTTCTCAACGCCATTAATCTGCTGGTTTATCCTTCCACCAAGGTTTTCACTCCAAGTATGGCCGACATTCTCTCAGCTCTCTACCAAATGGGTTACCAGAAAAAAAATCAAAGGAATTGGAGAATTCAAGAAAAATCAACTGCCTGCGGTGTGGCAATTCGTTTGTCACTTCGTCATCCGCAGCCCGTCAGGCCGAACCGGAGCCACTGACAATATGGGTCTTAAGCTTTTGGAACTAGTTTGGAGCATTTTCACTAGCCAGGACGTCAACTACGGTTAGATCTTATGGGATGATTTCCTGCAGTACATCCCCAAAGAGAGCCCAAGAGAAAACCCTACCGAACTCACATTTGCAAGGTTCTGGTCTCTGTGCATCTCAGATCTTCATGCGGATGCAGGAATTAGCATGGGCAACGACACCAACCTCTTCATCACCAAAGATCTCAAAAGGTATAATCCCTCCAAAGATCAATCTAACTTCGGACCTATAAGACGACTACCAGTCCACATTCTGACATCACTTGGACTTGAAACCCCTGATGTCACATACCATATAGAGGCTACGAAAGGTATTAGCCCATACCTTTCTACCCCGCCTCTACAAGCCACATCCGCACTCACCATTCCTAGTAGTACTACAGTCCCATCTTCCACCAGTCACTCCAACCTTTCACAAAGACGTAAACAGTTAGTCTCTGCCCATCAAGGCCCCCGCAACGTCTCCAAGAAACAAAGAACCCCAAAGAAAGATGCTCCCAAACCAACTGAACCCTCAAAGAAACGCAAAATCACCCAAACTGTACCCTCAAATGACGAATCCACTGAAAATGATTTTGATGAGGATGCACTACCCATTTCCATCTTAAAGAAAAGAAAAACCGATCCCACTGGCCAAATGCGTGACCGGACAGATGCCGTAGCCTCTCAAAAGGCTCCGGTAGTCCTTGGGGTGGCCGCAGATCCATTCATTACCACAATCGAATACCACTCAGACACAGAAAGTGTGTCTGTTTCACCACATCGTGGAGACTCACCCCTAGTTCACTCCCAAGAGGATGATACTGGTTCTCGCCCTAAGGTCTCCAGGGCTTCCCGACTTCATTTATTTTCTCCTGAGAAGTTGAACTCCATCCTCTTGTCTGTAACCCAAACACTGCAAACACCTTGTAACATCCGGATTTTCAGGGACATTATTGTGTATGTTAATCTTGAGATTTAAGGAGGGACTCGACGAGTTGAGGGACCAACTCGCCGATTCGAGTCGAGATTGCCGCGTGGATTTAATGAATGGACTCGACGAGTCAGAGGAGGGACTCGTCTAGTAGGTGCTCGGCAGAGAAACCCTAATTTCCCGGGTTTGGGACCTATTTAAAGGCATTTATAGCCTCAATTGCGGCTACCTTCCCCTGAGAGCAAACCCTATTTGCTATTGTAGCTAGAGAGTGAGAGAGAAGCTCATATTGTGGTTCTTGGTGCATTTCTATGGAGAAGGACGAAGAGCTTCTTGATGGGGAACAAAGGAAGGCAGTGGATCTTTGGTATTGAGTGTTTCAGCTGCTAAGAGAAGGTACAAAGTTCTCATCTTGTTCATTCCTTGTACTAGATCTCATTTTGGGAGTTTTAGGGCTTTGCTTCCATTCTTTTGAATCTATGAGTCGAATGAGGCCTGGTTGTGGTTGGAAACCTCAGATCTGGACCTCCTAAGGTCCTTAGAGTCTACATGTCTCAGCTTTAGTGGTCCAAATGAGGGTTGATGAGCAAAAACCTTCATGAAGAGCATGTATTGGCGTTTTGAAGCAATAACATCATGTATGAACATAAAGATCGAAGCTTTACGTAATTATTGAGCCTTGGGATGATAGATCTATAGTTTAGAGTGATAGATTTGATTGAAATCGTCTGAATGAGAAATCAGATCAAAGGGACTCGCCGAGTCCATGACCTGACTCGACGAGTCGGCAGGGTTTGTCCCGATGGATTGATTGTGCGATAACTCGGCGAGTTGGGGGTCAACTCGACGAGTTGAGCTGGACTTTTGAGACTTCTGAGGATACGAGGGGACTCGATGAGTCGCAGGAGTGCACTCGACGAGTCGGGTCAAACTTGGACTGTTGACTCGAGTTTGACTTCTGTTGACCATGGGGTTTTGGTCAACATATGTGATGGAGACCTTGGAGGGGGTAAAATGGTCTTTTACCCACTTTAATGAGTTAGAAAGAGAAAGACCCGCCTTCAATTATCTGAGTTGTGAGAAGAGTAATAATAAGAGATATTCATCCTTTGTGTTAGGAGGAGACTAGTTCGAGATCCGAGCGCGAGGTTATTTGCTCACCTGCTAGCCGAGGTGAGTCTTCTCACTATACATTACCTAGAGTGTTATCTATGTGTAGACCGAATGGTCTTGTGTGCTATGTGTATGTATGAGATTATGTGCATTGTGATATATGTATGCAATGTGTTGTATAGACCGGACCGGAGGGTCCAACGATATAGACCGCACCGAAGGGTCCAACGATACAGACCGAACCGAAGGGTCCAACGATACAGACCGGACCGAAGGGTCCAACGAGCTATGACCGGACCGGAGGGTCCAACGAGCTACGGGACTGGAGGGTTCCGCTGAGACACATCGACCGGAGGGTCGTACTGTAGCCTCGAGTGGCGTATGTGTTGTATGTGGTATTTTGAGGAAATCACTAAGCATTTATGCTTACCGTGTTATGTGATATGTGTTTCAGGTATCAGCGAGGGTCGCGGGAAGGCACCATCATGAATTGTACACACTGGCAGAAGATTCTGTGTTTAGATTCTAGGATATGTTTTATTGTGATGACATTGATACATGAGATTTTGAGAATATTATATGAGATTTATTATGTTTGAAAAATGAAAAATTGATTTAAAATTTACGTCGTTACAAGTTGGTATCAGAGCCTTGGTTTGAGGGATTCGGGTGCATCTTCGGATGAATCTGGACTCAAACTGAGGATTTGAGAAAGTTTTTCATAAGACAAACAATTTTTCTAAGAGAGTAAAAGATTTTGAGAAAGGCAGAAGGAAGCAGTGTGTACGATCAGCCAGCGCCCGAACGGTGATTTCCCAAAATACCCTTACATTATGTGTTACGAGATATGATATGATATGTTATGCATGCTAGAGTAGGCTAGGTATTCATATTAGGATTAGAGTGGCCTGATTTGTGATGCCTTAGCCTAGGAGATTACTGCTGCGTTGAGATGCTTCGAGAGGGAGTAGGTAGCAGTGAGGAGCTTATGGGTAGCCTATGCTTAGCAAGATGTAGAGTACTTGTGATCTGGGATCCTAGGAGGAGGACTTGGAATGAATGCTGATGCGGAGTGGAAGGTAGTATTGGGCCCGTACTACTGAAAACACCGGATCAGTGAGAAGTCCAAGTAAAAATCCTTAGGGTACCAAGGAATAAGTAGGGTTGGGTGATTGAGTGCGAGGATACTCGATCGAGTCTCTGGTATCTTTGTGTTGTGTTTCAGAGACATCATGGTTGGTACACCACACACACCGGAGAGCAGCAGTGTTAGCAATGGTGAGATTCGCCGTATGATTCATGACGAGATGACCGCGACGATCCGGAAGGCTAATCCGGAGGATCTAAGTAGCAGATCGAGAGGTGAATTCATGGTTCGAGTACCATGATTTGTAGCAAGAACGAGAGGTGATTTCGTGGTTCGAGTACCATGATTTGTAGCAGAACGAGAGGTGATTTCATGGTTCGAGTATCATGATTCGTAGCGGATTGAGAAGGGAGAACATGGTTCGAGTACCATGATTCGTAACGGATTGAGAAGAGATAACGTGGTTCGGGTACCATGATTCATAGCAGATCAAGAGGTGGCCACATGGTTCGAGTACCCTGACTCGTGGCGGTTAGTGCTTCTGGTTTACCGGTTATTCTGTGGTGATTGTCTAGACTGAGATCAGATGTGAAAGAGTATGGGGCCAGAGGGCCATGATGAACGAGTTTTAGTAGAGCATCCCTTGAAAGGGGAATCGAGTTAGCTCCGAGGGATTTTTGGTGAGATGCCAGTTGGAGTCGCAAGACTCAGGGATGAGTAGGGATGGTGCGTTATTGGAGAATACGGTCTGGGCTGAGCGACCGGACGATAGTGGAGATGTCATTTTCTGTGACCTGAGCGCTGTTATTTCTGTTCCAGTGGGAAACAGGAGAGATATTGAGATTTTCGGTTTCCGAGGTTGGGGGTGAGCCCTGTGGGGTAGTTTTGGTTACGATCTTTCATCAGAGTATCTGGACAGTATGTCTGCCGCGAGGTAAGGATATAGCATGAGTAGGTTGTCAGTGGGGACTGAGATGGTCAAGGACCAGGATACACCCTATTTGAGCATAGTAGGGCATGTGTTAGCTGCAGCAACGGACGGTCAAGAGGAGTATATCGGAGCGGTGGCTCTTATTGTCTATGATGGGTATCGAGTGTGGAAATAAGGTCTCTGCTCTTATGATAATTCACGTGATGGGACGTTAGTTGAGGAGTCGAGGATGAGGAGCATGTTAGTTCATTATTTTCAGACTGAGGGTCACTATTACTACTGGACAGTTGAGATGTCCGGTAGTGGGATGGTACGAGATTCTGAATGACTAGAGGCAGTCATGATGAGAAGTTTCCGAGGATTTCATCTGAGATTCGGGGTAGTTGAAGTTGTTTGATCTCCATCGGGGAGATCATCGAGCATTGTGTATCACCTTCCAAGGGTAGGTGCGATGTTACTGGTAAAAACAGTCTGTGGGATAGATTGTTGGTGAACCAATTGGTGATGGTTCGACCCCTGAGTGGGGGAGAACCGGGTACCTTTGAGGAGATTAGAGGTTGTTCAAGAGTGGTTGGAGGACTGGATATAGAGACCTGCGGTGCGGATTCCTGAGACCAGGGTTATTGGTGGTCAAGGCGAAGTGCAGAGCGAGATAGTGCATGTGGTATGTGTTAAGGAAAGGATGAGTGTCTCCACGGCAGGTGGCTGTCGATCGAAGACCGTGTGTGGCATGAAGATTAGTGGTGAATCCTGAAGGAACGCATTGTTGTATCTGTGTATGATGCGGTAAGTAGGAGATCGGTGGTTGACACAGGACATCATGAGGTTCTGTGATGGTGTACCGAGGTATCCGAGTATGATGTTCTAAATTTCAGACTATTTTGAGACTTGAGTTATGGGATGACGAG